CCCCCCCCCCCCCTAATAATTAATGACCGCTCCCTAAACTATAAAAAACTTATAACTTTGCAGATTATTGAAGCCACTCCACTTTTGGAATCTTTTGGAAATGCAAAAACTGTAAAGAATGACAACTCAAGTCGGTTTGGAAAATACCTTGAACTACATTTTGACAAGTATGTTATCTAGTAGATAAACACGACTTAATGCTTGTTTATGCACACTTTCCAAAATTTGATTACTCCTGACTAGTGTTTCAGTGAGTTATCTAATGTACAGTGATATACTGTATATATAGGAATGTTGGTCAATATAGATGAGTGTATCTTGTTAACTTACAGAGTTGGATGTATTTGTGGTGCTCAGATCTCAGAATATCTGCTGGAACGCTCAAGAATTGTAGGCCAGGTAATGCTAAATGATATTATGTTTTTGTCACACCTGGTTGTGAATACTCTTATTCCTAACCCAGAAAAATTTGGCCATGTTAACGGGTGACCATATTTATGGAATCTTAGTAAGGGCATTAATATAATGGAAATAAATAGCCGTGATAAAGAGATGCCGTTTTAAAGGGACTGTGAGTCGGGGTTTTACTGAATTCTCATGATATCCAGAATTATGAATCAAATGAAACTACTGTTTTAAAAACACTTTATTATTGTAAATAACACCTGATATCAGGCCTCGAATTTCCCTGAAATCAATCGACGGCAATGGCGTTAAAAATTTCCGTAGAACGTAACAGTTGTCTACGGCAATTTGGCAGTTTCCAAACACGGCATTTTTTCAAATTACTGTAATAAAAATTTAATTTATTGTTACTTTGGATTGTTGACAAGCTAGAAACATGTTTACGTATTTCTTTAGTGTTTTTTTTTTCGAAGAAAACTGAGACTAAAATAGTAATTTACGCATGATTTGATCAACATCTGAATTCAAGTATCAAAATAGTAATGCACAGTGAATAGTATAAAAGTTACACTATACGGCCAAAAATTGCCGTCGTTGCCGCAATGATCCACGGCATTTTGTTATCCCTCTACGGCAATTGCCGCGATAAAATTCAAGCCCTACAACCTGATATCCTTTCAGGCATACGGTGAGAGGAATTACCACATATTTTACGAAATGTTGGCTGGACTGCCTCAGGAAGAAAAACAAAAGTATTCGTTAAAGAAAGCTGAAGATTATGCATATCTAAATCAGGTACTTGTACCGACTGCTTAAACAACACCGACAAGAAAGCATGACTTACGGAGAGATTAATCAAATCTTGATTTTTTGTAGGGAAAGAGCTGTGTGATTCAAGGCAAGAATGACGTGCAGGATTTCTGTCATCTGGTTGCAGCAATGGAAGTTCTTCGAATTAAGGTGAGAGTATTATTTGATACTGTAATCATTTTCAATAAGGAACATCCGTAGCCATTGCTTTCATTGAACATCCACCACTCTTAAGCCCTGGAGGTCAAACGAGAGTGGTAAGAGTTGGATATTGAATAGACATGGTCATATTATTGCTAATGTTTATATTTTTGGTTTTGCAGAAAGACGACCAAGATGGAATCTTTGCCATTTTATCGACCATACTTCATCTAGGAAATGTCTTGTTTGGAATTAGACAGGTGAGATGCAGTTACGAAATTTGGACATAAACTAAGTTTATTTATTTTGCTTTATCAGTTCTCCCTAGAGGTCCCGTAAGGATCATCTCTCATTGATCCAGTGTTACTACAGGACGAAACCTAAACTAAACTAACTTTATTTATACTGGATAGCTCTATCAGTTCTAAACTGTTCATCCTAGAGGTCCAGTAAGGATCATCTCTTATTGATCCAGTGTTACTGCAAAAGAATGCCTGAACTAAACTACTGTAACTTTATTTATATTGGATAACTCTGTCAGTTCTAAACTGTTCTTCCTATCTTTTATTATCAATCTCACTCTCGTTCTAGGTTGATGGCCAAGATGCAGCGTTTATCCAAGGCGACGAAGAAACAAAAATGGCGTCAGAGCTATTGGGATTGAAAGTAAACAACCTTTTGCGGGGTTTAACACATAAAGTTACGGTAAGAAACGAGTCTAACTGGATCTATATAGGGCTGAACGCAATTTTGATTTTTTTTTGGTTTGCTCATAATGACATTTTAAGGACCGTTTTCAAATAAACTTTTAAATTAAAGAAGTCATGATGTTGTTTTGTGTTTGCAGGAGGCCAGAGGAGAACAATTTATGACCCCACGATCACAGGAACAAGCCTACAAGTCAAGGTTTGGGCAATGTTTATATAGTACAGTAGTAGTTAAACAATAATTAATTAATTGGGGGGGGGGGGCTATCCTGGATGCAGAGTTTGTCTGCTATCAGGCGAGTTTTATAGGTATGGCGGATGGAAGCCAGGTCACCCTGCACCTGAGTGCAGCTACAACTAACAACTAAACAGGAAACTCCCTGATCCGTGATAGGGGTGGGGTGGGGGGGCTTGATAGGGAATGCAAAACGGTCTGTGGTTCCTTACACGTGAAATGACTGTAACACATTCCCCTCAAGTGATTTGGACGAGGGTACTAATGCCGCTCGGCTAATTACACCTGGGTGAAGGAAAACATTTCGAGATGGAAAGTCAAGAAGCGTTCACTCATGGGTACTGGTGGTCTCACCACTGATCTCAAAATTATGGCGGACTGCCTGGAGTGAAAAGAGTGATAATTTAAAATCTTACTGAGTAAGTCACACCATAATACCATCACTTACCTCGCTAGGATAAGGTTCACAATGCAAATGTGAAAAACTGAAAGCAAACATATGCACTGCACTTGAAATTAAAGGAATTAAACAACATTAATTCGTTTATCACACTATTGCATATGACCTAAACAAGATATCGACATGCTTGGCATGTTGCTTGGCATAAAATTTTAAGAATAGAATTAGAAGCGAGAATTTTAACTTTATTCAACTTTAATTTAATAGAATGAAGTTCAGAATTACAGTATAAAGCTTTAGGTTTATGTTCTTTAGAAAGTCAATTAAATTTGCATCTCATGAACTGTAACTATACTGTAACTAATATAAAATCAGTAATCAATCAAAAGCTGCAATGTGTTCAATGATTTGAGAATTTTTCCGATGATTTGAGAGTTTTTTCGATCCGGTAATGTTATGCGACATTTCCACCAAACCACCAGTTTGTTGTCGCACTTGCGTCGGCAGTACAGCGGAAATTTGAATTTACTCCAATATAGAGCCCAAAATTATCTTCGGTTCGAACAGCCCCCTGCGTTGCATCGTAACCACAAAAAATTGCAGAACTATCAGTGTGAAGACCATCCTTAGACGTTTGCCACCACGACATATTACAATCACTACACTGATGGCCACGAATATTCACATAGTCTACTCTCTTGCAATGACCAGATCCTACAAAATTTATGATGTCAAAATGTACAAATTTTCCTCTGACGTAATCAACATAGTCAACGCCATGGGTCGGAAAACTACAGGTCGCTCGCCAGTGAGTGGACTGGGTACTAAGGTCATTCATCATGCTCGAACTCATTCGGTATCTGTTCCAGTTTGGTAAACTTTCATCTACAGGGGAATCTGCAGATAATAATGTTGATTTAAATTCTACCATGTCTTTGTTGCGTGTGGCCCAAGACATGACTAGTGTCCAGGCTTTTCCAGACTCTGACGTCATATCACAGTAAACGGTGATGAGGTTTGAGCTGGCGTCATAAATGTTGTAATAGCCGTTGGTTTTTAAACCGTTTTTCAGATGATCTAAACAACTTCGTGGTGCTTGTTGGTTAGAAACTGGCTAGAAAAAAGAAATAAAGAGTTCTCTCAACTTGGTTTAAACTGGATAGCTCTATCTTAACTTTGTTTAATTAAACTGGATAGCTTTATCAGTTCTAAACAGGGAACTTGGTTCTACACTGTTCTCTCTACAGTAGAGCATCTTTGTCGGTCCAATTAATCTATACAGGAAGAAATATTAACTGGAATTTAAGTTATTCATAAGTTCTCCTTCAAGATCCAATAACGACCATCTTATTTAATTTTATTGGTCCAATGAGGCAATCAGCAGGAGGAAACAGCAAAAATGCATGGGTTGACAGAGACGAGTCAAACAGCAGGAATAAAAAAACCCTGATTACAGAGATGAAACGAACATTGACAAACGTCTGTGACACCAACATTTTAATTTTCTAAGATTTAATTATTAACTTACAGAAAGAGTGCAGCTGTCAGTAAACAACTCAATTCGCAAGGCAGCGTCCTTGTGCCAACTTCTGGGAGAAATTCTGACGAATCTTGCCTCAAATGGAGATTTGAAATAATTTGTTACAACACTGCTGCTGTCGGTGCTACCAACGAATACCTAACAAAATTATGAAACCATTAGTGAATGCATTTTATTTGGGCAAGAATTTTATAAATACCGACCCTAATGTTACCCAGTTCTCCATAATATTTCCAGTCCACGTCATTTTCCCTATACATGATGACGTATGACTTTGTCCATTGGTCACCTAAACAATTGCCTTGGGTAGCCACCGCTGACACATTTGTCAGACTCCCCAAATCAATTGAAGCCACGATGAGTTACGGTCAGCAGTCGTCGCCGGTATCCATGCGCAGCCACCAAGTTGATTTCTCAGACGAGCAAAATGTGGCAAAGAGCTGGCGTCTAGGATGGTTGATGACGTCATAGCTACATCGGATATATTTCCATTTTCAATTCCCAAAGGAGTTTTACATCGAATGACAGGAGGTTCTAGATAAGAGAAATAGAATGCTCATTGAATCAACAGGTTATTACAGTCGAAATACAAAGAGTGTTTCACTTCCGTTATTGTATTCTGTTGTGTTTTACCGTAATTTGTTCTGTTTTTCTGTAGCGGTTACCACACTCTGTGTAAACGACATTGAATAAGACGCCGGTTCAGGCGTACACTCGTGCTTCAAAATAATTTGTGGTAAGAAGGATTTTCTAAAACGTTCTGTTTTACAATAATAATTATTATATTTACAATTTGCCCTCGTATCATAAACCGAAGAGGATTTATTAGGTAAAAATTCATCCAATTTTTGAAGGTTCTCATCTCTCAAAAAGAACTGTTCGCATAAAATCTCACGACGTTCCTACAAGGATGGAATATTAATAAGTTCTCGTGCATCGTTATAGCTAAGTTCTTGTAAAATAATTCTCAAAGCTCTTCTTTGAATAATATTGATGTTTATAATATTGATAATTATATTCCGCCATTTCTCGCAGTGGCCATATTGCGAAATCAGGATCAGAAGTGCGCAATGCATTACTGGGTCAACGAAGTCCAAAACGCCACCTACAAATTTTCAACACAACGAAACCTAGGCTCAAGCTCACCTGGAACACGAGCAATAACTCTTTATTATTATCAGTGTGAGGCAAAGGGCGCGTGGATTTGTTTAAACAAAAGGGTAAAAACCCGTTAAAAACAAACATACCTGTTGAGGGTGAACTAGTTACTGCTGTTGTTGTTGCCGCTGTTGTTGTTGCCGCTGTTGTTGACGGTGGTGTTGCCGTTGTTGTTCACGGTGGTGTTGTCACAGGTTTTGCAACTGTTGGACACAACGTCTTGTAGGCATGGCGATGTTTCTCGATTTCAATTTTGATATTTCTACAACAGTTCCTCGACAACCTTCTCGCTCGTCCCAAACACACAGTTTGGTATGCAGTTGTTTTGTTCTTCAACAAAGATTCTATTTCCTCGCAACAAATACCTTCTGCGTTTAGTGCTTTGCTTTCGTTCGCAAAAAGCACAAAAACTGCAAAGAAAGTAAGCGCAAACATTCTTGAACATCAGTCTTGACTAGCTGTAAAGAAGTATAGTATAGTACCGTGACACCTCCACTTTTTTTGCTCGCCACATGCCAAAGAGACGCCACGTGATGTATTCAAACCTCGTAATTAATATTTCCGGACCTCGTGATCGCAATTTGTTGCAGCCAGAGAGTGAAAACCTGCAAGTTTCAGTTTGACAGTCTGGCGGGTAAATTAATTAAATGCCGGGGTTTCTAATTTTATTGAACAATCAGGTGCGTAGTTTAGAATTTAACGCCAGAAATTCGTTACTCAACTGTCAATGTATTCAAACGTAAACAAGGTCACAGACGTCCGAACGAAGGTCAATGCAACAAAATATATGGAACAATTCAACCAGATTTCTTCATTTTAGAGCTCCATAAATACTTATGATTTCCCTTTTACCGAAAATGTGATCTCGATCTTGTAAGTCTTGTAATATAGTGTCGGCATACACTTTGGCAGAATGCGGGCCTGTATGTTTTTCAAGACCGGTTGGTACATACAGGTACGAGATATCACGTGATGATTGCGCGGGATGCCAAAAAAGCAGAGCCAAAAATGTGGGGGTGTCGCGGTCTACTGAGTTCAATATTATGCAAGCTACTTTAGGAAGGGCCCAGGCCCAAACTGCGAGGACACATGTTACTGGAACTTTTGTTTATATTTTAGGTTTTTTGTTTTGTTTGTTAATGTTTTGATATAAAATACGATAAATATAACACTCGCTTCTCGAACATTGTTCAAAAACCAGCTTGTTCAACCTATTTATAGCGAACCAGCATCTAGATTCTAGAGAAACAAGAGTTAATTTGTCATGATTTAAAACAAACGTTTTTTAAGATGCGTGAAATAACGATTTCTGGTTGTTTGTTTGAAATAACAGAAAAAAAACACATTCGATGTGCTTATACAAGCCTTCTCACTGAGATTTAACCATTCTATACAATCTATCAATGTTTTGCAAGATGAGTAAAATGAATAAATTTGTGAGATTTCATCTTCTGTAAAACGATCGAACGCACTGCACTGTTGGATCAGTTCCTACTTTTTTACTGTTCGCGCGAACAAATTCGCCTGGTGGAAAATGGGTTTAACTGGAAGGCAGCCTTTCTCGCTGAACGTTGCCTTTCAAATTTATTAATGGGGAGGTTTAATTTAAATTAATGATTTTCTGAGACTTCAGGCGCAAGACAAACAATATGTTTGAACGTAATGGAATGTCTGAAATGGAAACAAATGAAATTAGAATCAGATATTAAATTGAATATATAATTAAAACCTAGGAAACAGCTAACAACTAAACAGGAAACTCCCTGATTCGGGGTAGGTGGGGGCTTGATAGGGAACGCAAAACGGTCTGTGAAATGACTGCAACACATTTATATCCTTGACTCCTTGAGTGATTTGGACGAGGGTACTAATGCCACTCGGCTATTTATACCTGGGTGAAGGGAAACATTTCGTGATGATAAGTCAAGAAGTGTTGACTATATCTCTTACCACTGATCTTAAAATTATGGCGGACTGCCTGGAGTGAAAAGAGCGAAAATTTAAAATCATACTGAGTAAGTCACACTATGATGCCATCACTTACCTCGCTAGGATAAGGTTCACCGTGCAAATGTGAAAAACTGAAAGCAAAAATGTGCACTGCCCTTGAAATGAAAGGAATTAAACAACATTAATTCGTTTATCACACTAATAACACTATTGCATATGAGCTAAACAAGATATCGACATGCTTAGCATGTTGGTTAGCATAAAATTTTAAAAATAGAAGCAAAACTTTAAACTTTTTATTCAACTTTTTCAGAATTACAATAAAGCATTAGGTTTACGTTATTTAAAGTCAATTAAATTTGGGATCATGAACTGTAACTATAATTAATATAAAATCAGTAGTGATCAGTCAAAAGCTGTAATGTGTTTGATTTTTGCAAGTTTGAGAATTTCTTTAAATCCGGCAATGTTATGCAACATTTCCACCAAACCACCAGTTTGTTGTCGCACTTGCGTCAGCAGTACAGCGGAACTTTGAATTTACTTCGCCATAGTGGCCAAAATTATCTTCGTTCCCACGTGCCAATGGCTTATAAGAACAAGAGCTATAAGAACTATCAGTGTGAAGACCATCGCCAGAATTTTGCCACCACGGCACACTGCAATCACTACACTGATGGCCACGGATATTCACGTATTCTACACTCTCGCAATCACCAGATCCTACAAAATTTATGACGTCAAAATCTACAAATTTTTCTCTGACGTAATCAACATAGTCAATGCCATGGGTCGGAAAACTGCAGGTCGCTCGCCAGTGAGTGGACTGGGCACTAAGCTCGTTCATCATGTTCGAACTCATTCGGTATCTGTTCCAGTTTGGTAAACTTTCATCCACGGGGGAATCTACATAAAATGCATTCGTTTTAAATTCTGCCATGTCTTTGTTGCGTGTGGCCCAAGACATGACTAGTGTCCAGGCTTTTCCAGACTCTGACGTCATATCACAGTAAACGGTGATGAGGTTTGAGCTGGTGTCATAAATGTTGTGATAGCCGTTGGTTTTTAAACCGTTTTTCAGATGATCTAAACAACTTCGTGGTGCTTGTGGGTTAGAAACTGACTAGAAGGAAGAAATAAAGAGTTCTCTCAACTTTGTTTAAACTGGATAGCTCTATCAGTTCTAAACAGGGCTCTTGATCCTAAACTGTTCTCTCTAGAGCCAACTTCGTCGGTGCAGTATTTCTACAGGGGAAATATTAATTCAAATTCAATTTATTTGTAAGTTCTGGACTGTTCTTCTTCAAGATCCAGTAACGACCATCTTAATATATTGGTCCAATGAGGCAATCAACAGGAGAAAACAGCAGAAATACACGCGGTGTTTGATAGAGTCACACAGCAGGAATAGAACCCTGATTACAGAGATGAAACGAACATTGACAAACGTCTGTGACACCAACATTTAAATGTTGTAAGATTTAATTATTAACTTACAGAAAGAGTGCAGCTGTCAGTAAACAACTCAATTCGCAAGGCAGCGTCCTTGTGCCAACTTCTGGGAGAAATTCTGACGAATCTTGCCTCAAATGGAGACTTGAAATAATTTGTTACAACACTGCTGCTGTCGTTGTTACCAATGAATACCTAACAAAATTAATTATGAAACCATTAGTATGTGCATTTTATTTTGGCAAGAATTTTATAAATACTGACCCTAATGTTACCCAGTTCTCCATAATATTTCCAGTCCACGTCATTTTTGCTACATGATGACGTATGACTTTGTCCATTGGTCACTTGAACAACTGCCTTGGCTAGCGACCGCTGACACATTTGTCAGACTTCCCAAGTCAACCTGAAGCCAGAATGAGTTACGGTCAGCATTCTTCGCTGGAATCCATGCGCAGCCACCAAGTTGATTTCTCAGACGAGCAAAATGTGGCAAAGAGATGGCGTCTAAGATGGTTGATGACGTCATAGCTACATCAGATATATTTCCATTTTCAATTCCCAAAGGAGTTTTACATCGAATGACAGGAGGTTCTAGATAAGGGAAATAGAATGTTCATTGAATCAACAGGTTATTACAGTCAAAATACAAAGAGTGTTTCACTTCCGTTATTGTATTCTGTTGTGTTTTACCGTAATTTATTCTGTTTTTCTTTAGCGGTTACCACACTCTGTGTAAACGACATTGAATAAGACGCCAGTTCAGGCGTACACTCGTGCTTCAAGAGTTAGCATTACTTGAGGGACACATGACAATTATGCTTGTTGTGGGAAGCCTGGAGCTAATTAAGGCTATATGGTTACCCTGGGAGGATACTACATGCAACGCGGCGATCAGATAGAATAAACGTGCAACATATAATTATATAGATTGGACATTAACAGTTGGTACAGTATTCAGTAGTAGACATTTCTTGAGACATCGATATTCTGTTTACGTCCATTGAAAGATGTAACTTTTCATGTACCGAAGCTAATGAAAATGAGAAACTGGTTAATATTCGCACTACTGTATAGTATTAGGCGTATTGTAACAATTTTAAAACAGCAGGGGGAAAAGGGACCTCTCTATTCGTATTGTTCGATGCTGTTATCACTTGACAGTCTTGACGAGCATAAGAATTTAATATTACACTGCACCAAGCAATGTTGCAGTGTGGTAATGTATTCTGTGCATATATATTTTGCATCGTGCGCAAATCACGATCAGAAGTGCGCAATGCATTACTTGGTCAACGGAATCCAAAACGCCACCTACAAATTTTCAACACGACGAAACCTAGACTCAAGCTCCCCTGGAGCAGTAGCAATAACACTTTATTATTATCAGTGTGAGGCGAAGGGCGCATGAATTGTTTAAACAAAGGGTAAAAACCAGTTAAAAGCAAGCATACCTGTTGAGGGTGAACTAGTTACTGCTGTTGTTGTTGCCGTTGTTGTTGACGGTGTTATTGTTGGTGTTGTCACAAGTTTTGCAATTGTTGGACACAACGTCTTGTAGGCATAACGATATTTCTCGATTTCAATTTTGATATTTCTACAACAGTTCCTCGACAATCTACTCTCTCGTCCCAAACACACAGTTTGGTATGCAGTTGTTTTGTTCTTCAACAAAGATTCTATTTCCTCGCAACAAATACCTTCTGCGTTTAGTGTTTTGCCTTCGTTCGCAAAAAGCACAAAAACTGCAAAGAAAGTAAGCGCAAACATTCTTGAACGTCAGTCTTGACTAGCTGTAAAGAAGTATAGTATAGTACCGTGACACCTCCACTTTTTTTGCTCGCCACACGCCAAAGAGACGCCACGTGATGTATTTAAACCTCGTAATTAATATTTCCGGACCTCGTTATCTCAATTTCCCCTGTGCTTATCAGATGGATCGCGGCATTTTTAACTAATCGACAACAAGCCGCAAAAATTGAAGATACCTCGTCTGAATGGAGAAAAGTGAAGGGAGGAATTCCACAAGGAACGAAGCAGGAGTCATTTTATTTACAGTAACGACAAACGGTCTAATCGCAGATTGGCCTTTAAGAATCAAGTTTGTTGACGATACCTTGGCCTTAGAGATCTTATCAAGAAATTCCATCAGCTTACTTAACTATGTGGTAATGGACAAACATGGATTTGCTTGTAGTCATAATATGAAACTTAACCCAGGGAAGTGCAAGGAGATGTTCATTAATTTTATGCATGATCATAACATTCTTGTTAACCCAATCATGGGGAACAAAGAAATGTCAAATTATAAACTTCTGGGAGTCTGTTTAAATGAAGACCTAAATTGGAATACGAAGAGAGATTTTACTCGTTTAGTTTATATTTTAGGTTTTTTGTTTTGTTTGTTGATGTTTTGATATAAAATAGTACGATAAATATAACACTAGCTTCTCGAACATTGTTCAAAAACCAGCTTGTTCAAACTATTTACAGGGAACCAACATCTAGATTCTAGAGAAACAAGGCTTAATTTGTCATCATTTAAAACAGATGTTTTTTAAGATGCGTAAAATAACGATTTCTGGTTGTTTGTTTGAAATAACAGAAAAAACACACATTCGTTGTGCTTATAAATGCCTTCTCACTGAGATTTAACCATTCTATACAATCTATCAATGTTTTGCAAGATGAGTAAAATGAATAAATTTGTGAGATTTCATCTTCTGTAAAACGATCGAACGCACTGCACTGTTGGATCAGTTCCTACTTTTTTACTGTTCGCGCGAACAAATTCGCCTGGTGGAAAATGGGTTTAACTGGAAGGCAGCCTTTCTCGCTGAACGTTGCCTTTCAAATTTATTAATGGGGAGGTTTAATTTAATTAATGATTTTCTGAGACTTCAGGCGCAAGACAAACAATATGTTTGAACGCAATGGAATTTCTGAAGTGGAAACAAATGAAATTAGAATCAGATATCAAATTGAATATATAATTAAAACCTAGGAAACAGCTAACAACTAAACAGGAAACTCCCTGATCCGGGGTGGGGGGTTGATAGGGAATGCAAAACGGTCTGTGGTTTCTTAAATTCTGATTAAAAACGTGCAATGACTGCAACACATTTATATCCTTGAGTGATTTGGACGAGGGTACTAATGCCGCTCGGCTATTTATTCCTGGGTGAAGGGAAACATTTCGTGGAATGAAAAGAACGAGATTTTAAAATCATACTGAGTGAGTCACACCATGATACCATCACTTACCTCGCTAGGATAAGGTTCACAGTGCAAATGTGAAAAACTGAAAACAAAAATGTGCACTGCACTTGAAATGAAAGGAATTAAACAGCATTAATTCGTTTATCACACTAATAACACTATTGCATATGAGCTAAACAAGATATCGACATGCTTAGCATGTTGGTTAGCATAAAATTTTTAAAATAGAAGGAAAACTTAAACTTTTTATTCAACTTTAATTTAACAGAATGAAGTTCAGAATTACAATAGAGCATTAGGTTTACGTTCTTAAAAAGGTCGATTAAATCTGGGATCAGGAACTGTAACTATAATTAATATAAAATCAGTAGAAATCAGTCAAAAGCTGTAATGTGTTTGATTTTTGCAAGTTTGAGAATTTCTTTAGATCCGGCAATGTTATGCCACATTTCCACCAAACCACCAGTTTGTTGTCGCACTTGCGTCGGCAGTACAGCGGAAATTTGAATTTACTGTATAATAGAACCCAAAGTTATCTTCGTCGTGAACTGCACCCTGAGTGGGATCGAACTCACAAGTGGTAAACCTGCTATCAGTGTGAAGAAAAGAACCGGTGTATTGCCACCACGGCAAACTGCAATCAACACAATTATGGCCACGAATGTTCACGTATTCTACTCTCTTACAAACATTTTTTCCTTCAAAATTTATGACGTCAAAACCTACAAATGTTCCTCTGACGTAATCAACATAATCAACGCCATGGGTCGGAAAACTACAGGTTGCTCGCCAGTGAGTGGATTGGGTTCTAAGGTCATTCATCATGCTCGAACTCATTCGGTATCTGTTCCAGTTTGGTAAACTTTCATCTACAGGGGAATCTGCAGATAATAATGTTGATTTAAATTCTACCATGTCTTTGTTGCGTGTGGCCCAAGACATGACTAGTGTCCAGGCTTTTCCAGGCTCTGACGTCATATCACAGTAAATGGTGATGAGGTTTGAGCTGGCGTCATAAATGTTGTAATAGCCGTTGGTTTTTAAACCGTTTTTCAGATGATCTAAACAACTTCGTGGTGCTTGTGGGTTAGAAACTGGCTAGAAGGAAGAAATAAAGAGTTCCCTCAACTTTGTTTAAACTGGATAGCTTTATCAGTTCTAAACAGGGCTCTTGATTCTAAACTACTGTTCTCTCTAGAGCCAACTTCGTCGGTGCAGTATTACTACAAGGGAAATATCAACTCAAATTCAATTTATTTGTAAGTTCTGGACTGTTCTCCTTCAAGATCCAGTAACGACCATCTTAATTTACTGGTCCAATGAGGCAATCAACAGGAGAAAACAGCAGAAATACACGTGTTGTTTGATAGAGTCAAACGGCAGGAATAGAACCCTGATTTTACATAGACAAACGTCTGTGACACCAACATTTTAATTTTCTAAGATTTAATTACTAACTTACAGAAAGAGTGCAGCTGTCAGTAAACAACTCAATTCGCAAGGCCGCGTCCTTGTGCCAACTTCTGGGAGAAATTCTGATGAATCTTGCCTCAAATGGAGACTTGAAATAATTTGTTACCACACTGCTGCTGTCGGTGTTACCAATGAATACCTAACAAAATTAATTATGAAACCATTAGTGTGTGCATTTTATTTTGGCAAGAATTTTATAAATACTGACCCTAATGTTACCCAGTTCTCCATAATATTTCCAGTCCACGTCATTTTTGCTATACATGATGACGTATGACTTTGTCCATTGGTCACCTAAACAACTGCCTTGGGTAGCGACCGCTGACACATTTGTCAGACTTCCCAAGTCAACCTGAAGCCAGAATGAGTTACGGTCAGCATTCTTCGCTGGAATCCATGCGCAGCCACCAAGTTGATTTCTCAGACGAGCAAAATGTGGCAAAGAGATGGCGTCTAGGATGGTTGATGACGTCATAGCTACATCGGATATATCTCCATTTTCAATTCCCAAAGGAGTTTTACATCGAATGACAGGAGGTTCTAGATAAGGGAAATAGAATGTTCATTGAATCAACAGGTTATTACAGTCAAAATGCAAAGGGTGTTTCACTTCCGTTATTGTATTCTGTTGTGTTTTACCGTAATTTATTCTGTTTTTCTGTAGCGGTTACCACACTCTGTGTAAACGACATTGAATAAGACGCCAGTTCAGGCGTACACTCGTGCTTCAAGAGTTAGCATTACTTGAGGGACACATGACAATTATGCTTGTTGTGGGAAGCCTGGAGCTAATTAAGGCTATATGGTTACCCTGGGAGGATACTACATGCAACGCGGCGATCAGATAGAATAAACGTGCAACATATAATTATATAGATTGGACATTAACAGTTGGTACAGTATTCAGTAGTAGACATTTCTTGAGACATCGATATTCTGTTTACGTCCATTGAAAGATGTAACTTTTCATGTACCGAAGCTAATGAAAATGAGAAACTGATTAATATTCGTGGAAACTTAGCACTACTGTATAGTATTAGGCGTATTGTAACAATTTTGAAACAGCAGGGAGAAAAGGGACCTCTCTATTCGTATTGTTCGAGGCTGTTATCACTTGACAGTCTTGACGAGCATAAGAATTTAATATTACACTGCACCAAGCAATGTTGCAGTGTGGTAATGTATTCTGTGCATATATATTTTGCATCGTGCGCAAATCACGATCAGAAGTGCGCAATGCATTAGTGGGTCAACGAAGTCCAAAACGCCACCTACAAATTTTCAACACGACGAAACCTAGACTCAAGCTCCCCTGGAGCACGAGCAATAACTCTTTATTATTTTCAGTGTGAGGCGAAGGGCGCATGAATTTGTTTAAACGAAAGGGTAAAAACCCGTTAAAAACAAACATACTGTACCTGTTGAGGGTGAACTAGTTACTGCTGCTGTTGCTGTTGTTGCCGTTGTTGTTGACGGTGTTGTTGCCGTTGTTGTTGACGGTGGTGTTGTTGGTGTTGTCGCAGGTTTTGCAATTGTTGGACACAACGTCTTGTAGGCATAACGATATTTCTCGATTTCAATTTTGATATTTCTACAACAGTTCCTCGACAATCTACTTGCTCGTCCCAAACACACAGTTTGGTATGCAGTTGTTTTGTTCTTCAACAAAGATTCTATTTCCTCGCAACAAATACATTCTGCGTTTAGTGTTTTGCCTTCGTTCGAAAAAAGCACAAAAACTGCAAAGAAAATGATCGCAAACATTCTTGAACATCAGTCTTGACTAGCTGTAAAGAAGTATAGTATAGTACCGTGACACCTCCACTTTTTTTGCTCGCCACACGCCAAAGAGACGCCACGTGATGTATTTAAACCTCGTCATTAATATTTCCGGACCTCGTTATCTCGATTGTAATTTAGTCTTAATGGCGGCGGGTTCTGTTTGTATGAGCTCCGACCCCGATGAAAATACAATGACCACCGTTTGGGATGTGAAAGAAATTTACAGATATAAAACTGCCGAAATGATATATTACGATGGCGAACGAATTAGATGGTCTGCTGATCACGAATCGCTGAAGAAATGTATCGAATATGCTTTTGCCCAGCGAGGTAAATGGTCGTCGCCAGGGGGCAATTCAAGAAAGTTTGATAGCTTTAACTTTGATTTATCATGCACATGGTATCCTGGAAAATTGAGTTCTTTACTATTCCGTGGAAAGGCTGGCAATTTGGTAAAGGAATGCTTGATTAAGGCGTGTATGTCGAGCACACTTGATGAATTTCAAGACAACTTAAAGGTATGCACAACTTCGATAACTAATGTCTGTGACGGTGTCAGTCCCCACAATTCTGACTCAATAACTGTAGTAAATCGTGTTTGCCAGCCTTCCGATGTTAGCCAGACCAACGGACAGAAGCAGTGCATCGATATCGATCAAAGTAATAATGGTCTTAGAACACGGGATTGTGCCTCTCAAACACAAAACCAGAATTGTGATCATTTGTCTGAAGAATTGAGAGATGCTCTCAAGAAAGTTGATCGTCTGTTTGATTTAACAAACAATGTTTACAATTCTATAAGTAGATTGATAAAGGAAACCCCGGTTCCCTGTGGAAATTGCATGTTAGGAAAGAATGCGTCTGGTTCAAATGCCCAGTCGATTTCTGCTGGGGATATCGGCGAAAATATTAGGAAGTGTAACGAATTATCTATTGAACTCGAAGGTGTTAAGTTGGATGCCGTAATAACGGAGTCGAGACTCTCCAATAATATATACCAGAACAGTAAAGCGATTGAGCAAATTCATAGTCAAATGATTAACATGCAAAATATACAAAATATAACAGATGAGCGGTCAACCATCGCGAACAGAGAACAATCAAATACTCATACAATTAGTAAACAAAACGAAATCAGTGAAAACCCCTGTAATAAATCAGTAGTTCTACAGGATGAACAGTTTTGTTTATCACATGGACATCAAAGTGATAAGCTACAGAGTAAAGTCAGTAACAATTCAAATAGTGTTCGTGATTATCAATGTGAGAATTCTAAATCAAATTGTAATACCGTAGAAGGTAAACTACAAGGTCAACCATTTAGACGGTGTAAAACCAAAACGACGCTACCTATGTGTTTGGGAAATTTGCCACTAATTGAGTTACCATCATCAAAAATGCAGAAAAATAAACAAAGTAAGCTTCCCAATAAGAAGAAGGTTTACTCGAAGCGATACAGGCATGGCTATTATGCAAAACGACAAATTAATACTCAATCCCAACGTGGCATAACTAAAACCACCAATCGGATTCCTCTCGATGCTGTGAGTGAAATTCCCAAGCATCAAGGGAACCATCAGACATCACTCCATTCCGCTCACCTGACAAATTTTCGACGGCGCCGTTTAAATCATCGGCCTCACCCAAATCATCCCCCTTACCCAAACCTTCGATACGATCAAAATTACCGGTCCCATCAGAATCATCGACCTCATCAGAATTTCCAGTTCTATCAAAATTCCCAGCCCAACCATCAACCACAACAAAATCAGAAAGATTGGTTGAATTACCTAGAATTTGTTCATGGGATGATAAGAAAAAGAACTTAGCTATTCCTGTTAGAGTTACACAGAGACAAAATTACAACCACTGTAATTCTAATAATACTTCAAACATTAACTCAAAGAGACGAAGTAACTTGGTACATATTAATTTAACATCCACAAGAAAGGTTCCTTCGAGAGAAAAAGAAAAAAGTTCTTTACCCTCTTTGTTCCTTTCTAATACAAGATCACTCGTTAATAAAATTGAGGAT